TGGCTGTTCAATGTCGGTTTTTCAAATGCTTTCGATACATATAAGAACCATAGAGACATTATTATAGCTGTTGTCATCATCATCATCATCATCATCATCATCATCATCGCCATAATCACATGGGCCATAGAATTCGGGCGTCATATATTCAATATATGTCTTCACACCAGTTTTTTTTTGTGTGTGTGTGTGTGTACACATTGCCTTTACTACTATTTCTGAGGAAAGGCTATATTTTTTTGAATAAAAACAAAATCCTTCTGAAATGGAATTGTATGGCGCGAATAAAATTTTTCAAAATGCTACTCGTTTTTTTTTCTCCAATTTCTTGATCGATTGTTGCTATTCAGTCAATCAGTCAGTCAGTGTGTGTGTGTGTGAGATCTTGTTTTGTTTGTTTTGGCTATTAACATCATTTTAAAATTGGACAAAATTGGTGACCATGTCAAATATCTTGTTATTGATATATTGAATAGATATTGAAAATGAAAAAAATAGAAGAAAAAAAAATTTGTAAAGAAAACAGAAAATTATCACTTTCATCATCATCATCAATATGACAAGAATTGAATAAATGAATCGTGTTGGCCATCATTCATTCATTCATTCTTAATAGATTTTTTTTCAATTATCAATTCTATCATGATGTATTTGAGTAATTGAATCGGTGTGTGTGTGTGTGTGTGTGTGTGTATAAGTATTAGATCTGTGGAATAAAAACTTGAAAAATAGAATTTCTCCAGAAAAACAAAAAGAAAAACATAACAGAATTTAAAGAATGAATGAATCAATTCATTCGAATGAATACCTTTTATTTTATTTCATACGAACATTTCTGTTAATGGTCATCATCGTTATTATTTTCAAATTTTTTTTTCAATAATCATCTTGAATTGAATGAGAGTGAAAGATGTTCTATAATAGAGAAAAAAAAATTCCATAAAACAACGTATCATTTAATTCTAATCTAATGCTTGTTGTTCTTGGAATCACACATTCACCAGAATAATCTCGATTAATCGAAATATAATTAAAAGAGGAAAACAACAACAACAACAACAACAACCACCACTACAACAACAAAAAAAATCTGATTCCTTTTTGTGTCCACTCGGTTGTCCATTATTATTTTGGTATTATTATTGTTGTTGTTGTTGTTGTTGTTTTTTTTTTTTATCCCATTTTTTGGAAAGAAAAAAAACTGAATAACAGAAATGAAATTGTACTGGAATGAAAATCTTTTTTTTGGCAAAGAAAATCTTTTCATTTGGATAATGTGATTTTTTTTTTGTTTTGTTTTATTTCAGATGAATTTCCATTGCTCATGCATTTAAATAAACAGAATAAAAAGGCAATCAACCTTCTATCGTAAATCTTTTCAAGTCATTTGTTGTTGATGTTCCATTTGGTCTTTTTTGTTTTGTTTTGTTTGATTATATATTCTTTGTGAATATAAACAGGTTGCCACAACAAAAACAAATGGAAAAGAGAACCAGATAGAAAATTTCAATATAATGAATTGGATTCTATGTAGAAAACATCAACAAATTCATTATATAATTATCACTAAAATTGCAGATTTATCAATTCAAATCACATAGATATTTTTTTTTGTTCGCACCAAAAAAGTTAGTTTCAATACAAAAAAAAAAGAAATCATCACCATCATGCTTTCAATTTAGATTCGCAATAAAAGAAAAATTTTCCATCATCAGAAATAAGATAAACGAAAAAATGCAATCATTGAATATGCATGCACAGAATTCCCATACTAACTACGCAATAGGATTAGTGACAAGATGACGTTAATCAGATTATTCTTGCTCATATATTTAGAAATTCCGGAAAAAATCCATCCAAATTATTCCATAATGATGACATTAAATGATTTTTATTCAATCAATAAACTTGTTAGTATCAATAATAAAATATGATAAAAGGAAGAAAAAAAAATCTATATCCATTTAATAGATTCACATTCATTTTCTCATCATCACATCTTGTTATCATTAAACATCGTAAGCTGAATTCTTTATTTTTGATTCTTGAACTTTTTTTTTAAAAAAATTCTTGACAAACATAATAATATGGCAACAACATTAAACAAATCAACAATTCTCAAGATGATGGTGGTAAATAAATCATAAAATAGTGATAATAATCAGAAAAAATGGACATGGTCAATGATGATGATCATGATCATGATGGTAGTAATGATGATATATAGTTGAATTGAACAAATTATTTCTATTTTATGATCACCATGATTCTTATATATATGTTGATCTATCATTAACACAAATTTTTTTTGTCACAATTCTTGCTTTTATCATGATTATCTATTATCATTATATGACAATGTTATTATACTTATTATTACTGGGTTTTTTTTCTGTTATTGTACATATAGAATATATATAAGAACATTCAATAATTCAGTACATTTGAAATGAAAAAATATTACATTGATCAAATAAAAATGAACAGACCGAAGGTCTTTTCAGATATCCAGTTAGTTTGCTTTCCATTTACAATCATGATTTATATGATACACATAAAGGAAAAAAAGAAAACAAAAAAAAAAGAAGTTGTCAGACAATTCTGGTAATGGCATCAATATGATGATTTATGTTTAACTGTGTGGCTATCACACAATGAATGATGGTGATGTTTTTGTTTCGACATTGTATAAACAAAAATATTTCACAAGTGCAAACTCTTACTCAGACACAGTCACACACAGACACACATGTTGATTCCAGATAAACATTTTTCTATTGAAAACTTGGTGGAAAAAAAATTTTTTCATTTCAATGTCTGGTCATTTTTTTGATGTATATTTATTTAGTGCAAACATTGATTGATTCGATCAAAATGTGTATGAAAATGAAATGTTTTTTTTTGTTCTTTCTTCGTTTTTCAAATTGATTATGAAATCATCAAGAATATATATAAATCATCGATTGCCATATGCGAGAATCGGATTATTATTATTATCATCATCATCATCATAATAACCACTTACAAACACACAAGTGCATTAATCAAAAAATGAAATACAAATTCAGTTCGACCAGCTCTATTTTAACAATTCTCAGAATAGAAAAAAAACAACAACAACAACAACAACCGACTGCAAATAAAGCCAAAAATAAATTGACAGAAAAAAAAATTGAACCAATGAAATTTCATTGAATTTTTATACATACAATCACATTGAATGGATAAATTGAATGTAGTTAATATGAATTGAGACTACTACCAAGACAACCACAACGATATTTGGCGATATCTTAGTCTCTAAAAAAAAAAGGAATTTATTTGTATATAAACATAAAAAAGAACCAGATGAATTCTGAGAAAAAATCAAAAAGAATAAAAATTAACTAGTATGTATCATTGCATCGTCGTCATCATCATTATGATGGTGGTAAAAGTCATCAAACTACGACGATGAACAATTTTTTTTTTTGTAAGACTGTTTCCTAATTCTTGACACGATGATGATCATGATAACGGTGATATATTCGGTTTTTTTTTTTGGTTCGACTACTGAAAAGTCTGACAAACAAACAAAAAAAAAATTCAGTAAATTTTTTGACATTTAAATTTCAACCTTTTCATCAACATTTCTTTTGTTGCTGATGAATTCCATTTTTCATCATCATCATCATCATCAGCATCATGTAATTTAATCATGGCGATGAAAAATGAATTTTTTTCATTTTTGAAGATTAAACAATTTTCATGAAGTTAAAAACAAGCCGATTACATTGGTTATTACATCAGCACAGTACTTTTATGTTGGGTAAAATTCCTGAATTCTAGCATGGTCATCATTGTAATTTGATATTGCTATTGCTGGTTTTTTTCCGGAATTAATGTTTAAAAACTAGTTCTTCTTTTTTCTGCTGGCGTATGTTGGCAAATTTCAACTAGAATTTTTTTCCGGATTCTTTTTTTCTATGTGATAATTACGTCTCGGTTCTTGATTTCAATTTGTATGGCAGTTCATGATTCTGTGGTCATAAGCACAACAACATTGTATCGTGTGTGTGTGTGTGTTCGTGTTTGTGTTTATATTATAACCACAAAGATTTTCATTTTGCCGGATTTTTTTTTCTGAAAAATAAGTGAGTTATATATATTCTACACCACTTTATTATCATTTCAATGGTTGACAGCATGGAACAGTGATGACAACGATAATAACAACAAAAACTTTTTTCAAAAAAAAAAATTTTTGTTCCAAAATGGCTACGATTGTGTGAAAAAAATCTGTCACACAATATATTTGATTTTTTTTTCTATTGAGAATCGGTCATCAGAATATGTGAATAAGAAGATTCTTACATTCAGAATTCTCTATCCACATTCATGTTGTCACATTTTTGTTGTTGTTGTTGTTGTTGTCGTTGTCGTTTCACAACATTAAATTCTGAATATGTTGATTGGTGATATTTCCATTCACAAATGTTCATGACAATCGTATTCTATATTCCATCGAGTAACTTGCAATTGTTGTTGATGATAATTATTGTGGTCAATTATAGTTACAGTAACAGTTCACAAATATTGTTCATGGCAGTAATAATGATGATGACCAAGAATAAAAACAAAAATTATTGTCATCATTATCTAATGGCCATAATAATGTTGTTTTTAATTTCAATTGTATATATTGCCAGATGTGATCCAGATCCATCAGGTTTGTTATGGCAATATTGAATGTTTTTTTTTCTCAACTAATATATTAAGATTTTAATTCAATTTTAAGACAATAAATTTTGGCAAAATATGGCCATAAAAAGAATATTACAATATGAATCGAAACGAATGACAAAAATGTATGAAAAAGAAATGGCCAAAAATGTTATCATTTTTATTGGTGATGGTATGGGCATATCAACCGTTACAGCCACTCGTATATTGAAAAATCAATTGCCAATTTTGAAAAAAATTCAAGAAAAACAAAATTCTGATGAAATGAATGATGAAAACATGACTGAATTATGGAAAAAATTACAACAATCCGAAGATGGATCATTATCATTTGAATCATTTGAAACGGTGGCTTTAGTTAAAGTAAAATGACAAATCAATAAATTCTTTGTTTATTATTGATTGATCAATTAATTTTTTTTTGCATGTTTCATCCAGACGTATATATTGGATAGTCAAGTTGGTGATTCTGGTGCTTGTGCAACGGCAATGATGTCCGGTGTTAAATCTAATTTTGAAACAGTCGGCGTCAGTGGTAAAGTAAAACTGAATGATTGTCTAGCCACTATGGATCCAATGGTCAGAGTATCCAGTATAATTGATTGGGCACAGCAACAAGGTATGTGCATTGTTTAATTTTTTTGTTTGTTTGTTTGTTTATGTTGAATTTGATTGCAGGTAAATCAACAGGATTCGTCACAACTACCCGTGTAACACATGCAACACCAGCCGCTTTATATGCACATTCAGCAAGCCGTTATTGGGAATCAGATGATCGTATGATAATGATGATGAAAACGGTCAATCGATCTGAACACAACGAATGGAATTCAGAATTCTGTAAAGATATTGCCCGGCAATTGATTGAAGATGAACCAGGCAAAAATCTTAATGTAATGTTTTATTGACAAAATTTTTTTCAGTCATAATTTAAGAAAAAAAATCAATTAGGTTATAATGGGTGGTGGTAAAAGGAATTTAATACCAAAAAATGATGGACAAAGACAAGATGGTCGTAATCTTATTGATGTTTGGCTTGATGATAAAAAACAACGAGGTTTAACAGCAAAATTTGTATCGAATAGTGAAGCATTACGCAAATTGGATACAGATAAAATTGATTATCTTTTAGGTAATCGGATTATTTATTTGGATGCATTATTTATTTTTTTTTTAAATTTTCTATTTTCCATTTTTTTGTTTTTTTTACTTCATTTTAATCTTTTAAAATGTTGGAATCATCAATATATAGGAATATTTGCCGATAATCATATGTCACATGAAGCTGATCGTAATGATACTATTGAACCATCATTAGCATTAATGTCATTGAAAGCAATCGAAATTTTGAAACATAATCCACAAGGATTTTTATTGATAATTGAAAGTGGACGTATTGATCATGCACATCATTTGAATAATGCATATCGTGCGCTAACCGATACACTTGCATTAGATGATGCAGTTGAACATGTTGTTCAAAAAATTAATAAATCCAATACATTAATATTGGTTACAGCTGATCATTCACATGTATTTACATTTGGTGGATTTCCAGCACGTGGAAATCCTATACTAGGTATTGATGATCAAACAAGTGATTCAGATAAATTAGCCTATACAACATTAATGTATACAAATGGACCTGGATATCGTAAATTACGTGAAAATCTAACCGAAATCAATACTATTGATCGTGATTATATACAACAAACAGCCATACCAAAACGATGGGAAACACATGGCGGTGAAGATGTACCATTATATGCTTCTGGTCCATCATCAGAAATATTTGCCGGTATTATGGATCAAACATTTATTCCTTATGGCATCAGTTACGCCACCTGTATGGGGCCAATGGAACCATTGTTTTGTAAAAAAAATTTAAATTTTCCAATTTATCATAATCATAATCATGAATTGAATCATAATTACAATGATGATGATGATGATAAACATCAATTACGATCGATTTTAATTGTCAATAACAATGATAATAATGAACAAAAATCTAATGTAGACATCAATAATGTTGTTGTTGTTGTTGATGATGGTGACGGTGATGATGATTGGCATCAAAATCAACCTAATCAACGTCATCAAAATCAACATCGACAACAACAACAACAACAACAACAAAAACAACAGCAGCAGCAAATAGAAAACCATGACCATCGTCATAGTCATAATGAGTCTATGTTTTCAACAACAATTTCATCAATGACTAAATCTATGGATAATTTTTCAAATAATCACATGGACAATGTCAATGATTTTGTTGTTGATATGAAGAAAAAAATTGACAAAACAAAATTACAACCAAAACAACAACAACGGCAACACCAACAACAACAACAACGACGACAACAACAACAACGACGACGACGACCAATAAAATTTTTAAATGATAAAAATATTGAAAAAAATGATGATAATCATCATCCAAGAATATTGACATCATCATCATCATCAACAGCAACAACAACAACAACAACATTGAAATCGGAAAAAAATTTAAGAATAATAATCATTATCATTATGATGGTTTTAGCTATGATTCAATGTAATAATAAATCTTTATAAAAAACATCATCATCATCAACAACAACAACAACATAATCATAAATCATAATAAGTGATAATGTTAAGAACTTGATAGTATAAACACAAAACACAAACACACATTTTATTGTCAATATATATATATTGTTGATGACAACAACAACAACAACAACAACAACCACAATCAGACAATCATCATCAATGGTCATTATCTTTATTTTTATTTTTTTTTTTTTGGTCATTTTTTTTCATTTATTCTTTAAATATCCATATATCTGGTTCATCGTCATCAAATTTTTTTTCCATTTGTTATTCATCATTATCATGAAAAGATACACCACACACACACACACACACACACACACCTTCACTCATCAATCATTCTTTTTTTTTTTAATTATCGAAAAAAAAAGTTTTTTTTTCTGAATAAAATAATTATGACTGGGGTTATTTTTGTTTTTAAATATTTTTCTCTTGTTTAAAAAAAATCATCATCATCATCATCATCATCATTGATTGTTTGTGCAATAATAATATCGCCGGAAAAAGGAAGTTGGTCTCCAACAAAATATAAAATCAAAATCATTCAAATGCACACACACACACACATGTGCACACACATCATCATCAATGTTTTGGTTCGTCTTTCTGTTGATTATTATTTTGATGATGATGATGATGATGATGATGATGGAATTATTATTATGCGCGTAGCTATTCCTCCCCTTAATGATGATGATGATGATGATGATGATGATTATCTTCTATTTCTTTTGGTAATAATCATCATCATCATCATCAGTATCCGAATAACAACAACAACAATAACGACATCATCATCATCAAGCAAGAAAAATTGCACAAAACACAGTGAAAGAGAGATAGAGAGCCGAACTTGAAAGATTCGGTCAGGCGGCTTTACAGTCGTATTTTTTTTTCATAGCTAAACTTTAACTATGCTATGTGATGTGTGTGTGTGTGTTTGGTGATTATTATGAATCCAACAATGGGCACACATGTATACACAAACACGCACATGTGGATACTATGCACTATCATCATCATCATCATCATCATCATTACCGATTCACCAACCCCGAAAATATAGACAAAAGGAGAGAGCAAAAAAAAAAAAGAGAAAGAGAAATGGGGCCCAAAACATGATGCTATGATTGTGTTGGATATATCAAAAAACAACAACAACAACATGTAGACGACGACATCATCATCATCATCATCATCATCATCATCATCGTAGACATTTGGCGCGAAACATTCGTTTTTTTTCTATCCATTTGTTTGAATATAGTTAGTGTTTATGGCACTATCCAAATCCGATCCATTCAATTCATTCGCTACACTAGTCATCATCATCATCATCAATGAAATTTTTTTGAGTGAAAAAAAAAATTTTTCAACAACGACATCATCATCCTGATGATGATGATGATGATCGTATTTTGTTGTTGCTGATGTCTTTTTTTTTTGTTGGGTCTGTTATAGCAAATTTAATGGCATCATCATCATCATCATCATCGCCGTCGTCTTTGTAGTTATATTCCATTGCCATTATACTTGATGATGATGATGATTACCACGAAGACCAAGTTGATGATGATGATGATCACCGTCATCATCATCATCATCATCATCAACTTGGTCTTGCAGTATTTTGGCTATTTCCAGACAAAAAAAAAAATACAGCCATTTTTTTCCTTGATGTAATTTCTTTTTCTTTTAAACAACCAACAAAAAAAAATATATTCGAACTTTTGGCTTAAAAAGTCTTAAAAAGTCCATGTTCATTTATGAATTTATATATTTCATTCTTTGATTGAAAACAAAAAACAAAACAAAAAAAAATTCTTTTGATAAAAGGAAATGAGAAAAGATTGTTCACATAGAACGTATCCTCGTATATCGTATGCCATTTGAAATATTTTTTTTATATATCAATTTAAAATTCGGTTTTTTTTTAATTCGGACATATTATTCACATTTGGTTAAATAAATGATCGGAAAAAAATTTATGGCGCCAAATACAAATTTCATAATCCATGATATTCAGAATAATACTTTTTATATATGAATCGGCATTAATCAAAGTATATATATTGTATTTTGTATTGTATGATATCAAATTGTCGACAACAGCACCACCATCTCGAATTTCGAAAGTAATAACTGTGTGTGTGTGTGTGTGTGTGTGTGTGTGTTGCAGAAGTCTCTATGAAAATGAATACGTCATACACACACACACACACACATCAAATCGGTCACAATGAATAAAAAAAAGTTTAACTTTATATAATAGTGGTATGTAATAATTGCAGTTTTGTTCGACATAATTTACATCTGAAAAATCATTGTGACTTTAACCAGTTAAATTTAACAAAAAGGAAGAAGCATATGTATAGGATAAAAAAGCGTCAATTAGCTTATTGTAGAATTGCACACACACACACACACACACAAATACGCGTATTTCATCAAATAATATAATGTCTGTATATCTAAAAAGGAAAAAGAAGAAAAAAAAAAAAAAAATACTTGTAAATAAACGCATGCGTATTGTCATTAAGCATGGGTGAGTCGTCAACAGCATCAACAGCAGCCATTTTCATCATCAACGATATATATATACAAATATATTATACACACACACACACACATAAAGAGCTATAGCTGTAACTGGCTGACTGACTGACTTATTACACAAATAGTTGCCTGCATGCATATACACACACACACACACACAATACAGCAGCTACTAAAAAACTAACCAAGAAAGTGAACAAAAAAAAAAGAGAGAGAGAGAGAGAGAAAAACAAGATTGATAGATATAACAAAACAAGGCCCAAATGTAATACATACACATACACATATACACACACACATATACAACATACAAACACACAATACACCGAAGGCAAATAATGAAAAAAAAAATAAAAATAAAAATAAAACCCACAAAGACAAGCAAGAGTTAGGTTAGCCTTATTTTTTTTTTGTTTTCCGTTCCTGGTTCTTGGTCCTGGTTGTCTTTTTCTTTATTCAATCAATTTTTATTATTTGAACAAAAGCCACCCACCCACACAAACCATACATCACAGACAAACAACACACAAACACACACACACACACAAACACACATTTCGCATACCCGACTACAATTGAAACGTAAAATCTATCCGACCTGAGAAAAAATCAATCAAGTTTAATCAGATTTTTTTTTTTTTTGTTTTTTTTTTGCCATCATCAAAATATCATCAACGAAAACTGTGTTTTTGTGTTTCTGGTGCTAAAAAGATTGTCGCCAACTTGGCCAATTTTTTCCAATTCAAGTGTCTATGATCGTTGTCGATTTTTGGCGTTTTGCTGTGTAGTTTTTTTTTAATACCTGTGAAAACTTATTAAAAATGAGAATGTGAAAATCATTGATTGTAATTCCGATTGTGAATCGGTAAATTTTCATAAATGGTTCAGTGTATTGGTAACAAAATTGGATTCAAATTATTATAAATGTGACCTGTATATTGTTCACTTGTTACCAATTTTCTTCTATTACCATATATCCTCACGTTTTTGTCGTCACTTGAGATTTATTTACATCAATCAAAAGAAAGAAAAAAAAATCATTTGCATTTTCACAATCATTCCAATTTGCATCACATTCACATTTTTTTTTTTAAATTTGGTTTCAAATTTCCTTCTTTTTTTGGTGAGTATCTGGTCAATAATTTGATAAAGAAAAACGTAATTCTAAATTTTCATTCAATTTATTCAGGTAGTGACCAATAAAAAAAACAATTCAATTTTCATTTTTGAATGTTTTTATTCACCACCAAATCCAAATCGCATAGTCGATATATTTCGATTTTGAATCTCAATTAATAACGAAAAAAAAATCGCAAATCACAAATGGATTTTGCCATCTACGATAATCATTATATACGACGTTTTGAGCAAATCATTTCAAATCAAAATGACAATAGTAACAGTAGTAATAATAGTTCAAAAAGTAATTTAACTAAAAAATTGCGTTCACCATTAACACATGAACAGCGTGAAATGATTAATGCAAAACGACGTATATCGGCATTGACGGCTGAACAACGTGAACGACGTAATGAAAAACGTCGTGTCACATCATTGTCAGCGGAACAACGTGAAAGAATCAATGCTAAACGTAGGGTAGCTGCATTAACGCCCGAACAACGTGAAAAACGTAATCAAAAACGACGTGTATCATCATTGACACAGGAACAACGTGAACGTCGTAATCAAAAAAGGCGTATATCATCAATGACAGCTGAACAAAGATCAATGGTAAATTCAAAAAGACGCCGCAGTACCTCTTCAACATCGAATCATCATCATCATCATCATCATCATTCACATTCATCAACAACGGTCAATCAGCATGGCCAACACCAACAACATAATCATCATCAACAACAACCACAACAAACATCAGCTCAAATTCTATTGAATCATGCAACAACACATGGAATAAAAGTGGCAAATCTTACTACCACACAACAACAACAACAACAACAGCAGCAACAACAACAACAACAACAACAAACACAGATAATGCCATCAACACAAGAATTTCTTGTACAAATATCCGATACAATGGATCCAAATAAAGCGACAATGGTTACGATAGCAACAGGACCAGCTATACCGGGTGCACATCATAATAATCATAATTCAAATAATAATAATAATAATAATAATAATCAAACCAATCAGATAACATCATATGAGAATCTATTTCGACATAAATTTTCACAGTATTCACCACAGGAAATGGAATTATTGCAAACAATTCGTAATACAACCATAATGAATCGTCGTTGCTAGCTAGCTATAAATAATATACAAACACATATACGAAAAAAAAAAACAAGAATAACAAAACTATTTTTATTATTTATAAATTAAATTTTGAAAACAAAAAAAAAATATTGGTAGTCATAAACGATCATCATCAAACATTTTATTCATTTTTTTTGCCGCCTTTTCTAAATTCATCTACTCACACATACACACATTCACATTCTGACCTTATATCAATTACCCTATATATCAATCATTTTGAAACATACAAGTACTATACTATGATGATATAAATATAACATAAATTCATTCATTCGTTTTATATTATATAAAAATATCAAATCATCCATTTGAAAAAAAACATGAAACTTGATTGATACACACACGTTTTTTTTGACTGTAAATTTGTTTTTTTTTTTGGAAAACAAAAACATTTGGACATCTGATACATACACACACACACACACACACAAATACAACGAATCTACTAGAATCTGGTATGAAGAAAACACAATTAAACAGAGAAAAAAAAAATGAATTTCTTCAATTTTCATTCGGTTTTCATTGGTTCAGGTTTTTTTGTTGTTGTTGTTGTTGTTGTTCTAGTCTTTTTTTCTCATAAAATGAATTGTAAATTTTCACACAAACACACACCTACACACACACAGATAATATACCTTGAATCTTGATTTGTAATACCAAAAACAATGTTTCATGTTCCAAAAATATTTTGCTATCCACAAACAAATGATAGAAAAACAAACAAACAAAAAAAAAGTAGTTTCACTTTCACAACAAAAAAACAAAACAAAAATTCTGGTGTTCATTTTGGTTATACTTTTGTTATACTATATCGATTCTTGGATTCCATTTTTAATCATCATCATCATTACATATAATCGTTGTAAATATTTCAAAAACTATTTGTTTGGTATTGGTTTTTTTTTCTCTTTTAAAAAACGAAAAGAAAAATCCAAATCAGATTTAGATACATACATTTTTTACTTCTTGTACTGCTACTACTACTATTACTACTATTACTATTACATCATTAATTTTTCTTCATTAAAATTGTAATTTGATTTTTTTTCCTGTCTGAATTTCACTGATGATAATAGCGATTGATATAACATATATAAATATGAATACATACATAATAACCGGACAAACACACACCCAATACACAACCCATACACACACACACACAATCAGGCCTGATGATCGAATAAAAATTTAAATTTTTTTTTTTCGTAATACATTTTCAATGGGATAAATACAGATTGTTCAAGCAGAAAAAGCAAAACAAAAAAAAATGATTACTAAAACATTGATTGATTTTTTCGATATTGGCCATAATATTCAAATGATGGCCGATTATTTCGATATATTGGTGTGAAAATTTCCATTTTTTTCACTGATCGACAATCATTTCCATGATAAAGATAGAGATACCAATTTGGATTTGGAGTAAAACCGGCATGATAAACATTATTGGCAATAGGAATTTCCAACACTGGACGAATACCTTCTAGACCGAAAAGTCGATAAAATCGTATCTGGTCACAATGATGTACCATCAATAGATCGGAAGAATCTAGTTGTGTATAATAATTGGAATATATTGCCATATTTTTTATCGGACCAGTACGAATTTCTTGAACCTTCAAGTACAAAAAAAAATGAAAATGAATTTTTTTTTCGGTAATTTTGAATTTTTCAAAAAAAAAAAATCGTACCTTGACATATCGTTCGCCATCTGTTGTTCCAAAAACGTACAACAATTCAGAATTTAAAATATTGTTAAAAATGATAAAATTTTTATAATCACTAATCTGATGATTAGCCATGATAACCATATGTTTGGCATGGACATTTAATATAGTATCCAATGTTTTTAAGCTAAAATCCGGTAGTACGGTTAAAATATCCAAATGTGATTCATATGGCTGATATATTGAAACCAATAATAAATTCTGCCAACGATATAACTGAGAAAAAAAATGTACAACAGAAAATTAATTAGAAATAAAAGATTGTCACACAGACATACCGATTCTATACGGCCATACATTTGATATTGGCCATCTTTAATTGAATAGATTTCAATCCGATTCATATGACCAATATGTAGAATATTCAGTATATTACCGGTAGCAAGAATTGCGTAGGACGGTGTTTGATCAAGTGCTAAAATCATTTGATTCATAATCGGATACTGTTGTTGTTGTTGTTGCTGTTGTTGCTGATTATCATTGAGAATAAGGGAAACTTCTGGCATAGACATTAAATGATGATAATTGTGTTGAAAAGTTTTTGTTTGACTAAAAAATCGTATATTCTGTACCCATATGCCAATATTGTTGTTATTGTAGTACGATGAATTCTTGTATGTTGAAATATTATTGAATTGTAAACATTCATGAAGATTTGTTTTGTTGAATGATTTTTCCAAATATGAAAATAATAACCATACATTGTCAATTTGTTCGAATGCCAATAATGTTCCTGGATAATAAAATGTATGATGATGTTTCCAACCATTATTGCTGGTAGTTTGATTATTATAATTACAATAGACATGTATTTGATTACATATTGATGATGGATTGAGGCTATTTACCGAATCACTGACCACGGTTGATATGAATGTACAAATCCAAGAATTTGATAGCAATGAAATTAACAATGGCCGTGAATGATGATGATCATGATCATGATCACTATGAATTAGATTCAAATCTCTAGCCATTTCAATATCATGTAGATGATCAAAATATAATAATTTTGAGCCAATGACCTGAAGATTTTGACGTATAGAATCTAAATGGATACGCGTACGACGAATATCATGATCCATTTGTTGTAAATAATTTGTAGTATTTGTGAATTGATTCAATATAGTTATATTGACATTATCAATAAATGATTGTACATCAACATTGTTCACGAATAATTCATTGACATGAACTTTTGTTTTGATTATATTATCAGCATTCTTTTTAACTAGACGACGTTTCAGATCATTTGGTTTGATATCATTGATTTTTTCAACCAAAAATGTTTTGTTAATCAATACATCACCAGATAGAATTGTTTGTCCATATACAGTTTGATCGAATGATTTGAGTAATAGATTTTCACGTGATATTGTAACATTGTTTAATGGTCGTGTATGTAGAATATAAACATCAACTTTGTCGAATGTTTTCATACCATAAATGGTATAATTTTTATCACTTTTTGCAAGTACAGCATCCTTAAGAAAACGATCAATATTGACATTGGAAATTTTTTTACCTTTCATAATCGTCATACTATGATTGACATTTAGATCTTGTGTAAATTCAATTTCTTCAGTAAAAGTATTAATTGAACGTTTTTTATGCATCAAATGATCGGTGGCAATTCCATTGATCCATTTTGCATTCAAATGTTTATCAATAATTATTTCTGTATCAAAATGTATATTACCAGTATAGGTTTGATCACCATATTGTTTTAATGCATTACGATTTATACGGCCTAAATCAACACCATTAATAATATCCGTATCCGATTGTAGATTATCCACTTGTATATCATCTTCAAATCGTACGTTACGTAATACAAGATTTGCTTGTACTTCTTGATCACGTGTTATGCTCATATAATGATCAAAAATATAATCCAATTTTAAATCATTTATATAACCATTAATAGTGGTTGGTCCATTCAATACGAGTATATCGATCATTTTTTTACCCGTAATTTTTTGTTCATTATGATCATGTCGTAATGCTCGAATACTAAGATCTTTATATGTTAATCCATTAATCGATTCAAATTGTACTGGTGCAAAAAAATCAACATTTCCATTGATCACCAATGGTTTTGTTGGTTCATATGATGGTTTATAAACTTGTCCACAAAAATAATCAATATCAATCTGATTGATTGAACCTTTAACATTTAGATCTTTAATTACAGTTACATTGTTGACAAAACGAATATTTCCTTTGATTTTTTGTGCTCCTGTATAATTACTGCTCAACACGACATCTTGTCTGAGATCGATTTTGTTCAGTCGTCCATTAAAAAGAATGTCACCTATAATTGGAATTTTTTTTTTGGAAAGAGAAAAAAAAATTTGTCAATCATAATGGAAATAATGATCAAGTATTCAATTACCCATAATTTTGACATTTCCAAAGAATTCAATTTCAGTTAGAATGGATGTTTTACGATCTAACCACACAACTTCATCAAATAACCAATTCAGATCAATATTGTTTAGATGGCCATCATGAATATGAACATTTTGTACGGTTAAATGATCGATAGAAAAATTTGCTCGCAAATATCGAGGCTGTGATGACCACCATCCATGGCCATTTACTAGCCAATTGTGTTGCATTTCATAAACGGTAATATCATCAAATAAATGATCAAATTCAATCTGATCAAACGAAACTTGTCCAATAAAATGTTTAGGTGCCGATATATTTTGCCATTGTTTTGCTGTTGGATGCGCAGTAACAATATCATCCTCAAGCCATTTCAATGATATTCCATTTATAGATGGGCTTGTAAATTCTTCATTTGGTGCAATTACCAATGATTTGAAATGAAATTCATTTGAAATGTTCTGCCATTCACGGCGACGCATCGAATAATTGATTATTTCATTCACATCAATTTTGTTTATACTTTCGACGATCAAATCACCGATTACAATTGATTCGAATGTTGTAGAATTATTTTGATTATTAAATTGTTTGATTCCATTTATCCATTTTGTTGGTTGATAATCATCATTGAAAACAATATCATCAATTGGAATATCGTTAACATAAGAATCGATAATCAATGATTGAACATGAACATCACCATGGATCTCTTTAGTTCCATTCACTAATTGATTACCGAAATTTTTCAGAACATTATCCAACATGATGGTCATACTATAATTATTTAAACGATCGATTTTTGCATGGCTATGTAATACGATATCATTGAATGAATAGTGAGCTAAATTTATCATTTGCGGTGTGGTACGGGTTAGCAAATCATTAGCTAAATCGATACCATTGATCGTATTACAATCAAGATAATTGACATGAAGTCGATCAAAATGAACATGTTCGAACGCTAAATTTGCCCATTGATTGTCCAAAGTCAATGATTCTTCTATCAATTTATGAAATTGTTGTCTTGTAATCGAATTTATTGATTCAAACCATAGGCCACCTTCAAAACGGGCAATATTTTCTATATGTAATGTATCAATATATGATATTGATGGCCGTCTACGACTACGTTGTTCCAATTCGCCAATATTCATACCATTCAATAGTCCACCAATGTAGTTATTGTTATTACTACGAATCGATAGATTATGTAAAATTTTTCTACCAGTTATATTTTGTTCGATATCATCATCATTGATCACAATATCTGGAATGTCTAAAAATTTTTTTCATATAAATAATAAATATTTAAAATGCAGATGAATCGAAATATGAAGGTTGCTCAAAAGAAAAAATTCAATGGAAAAAAATAAGTAAATAAAAAAAATGATAATAATAATCGATACGTACCATTAATCAATGCCAAACCGTTTAATGTTTTTGAAATGTTTAAATTTTTTATATAAACTTGATCATGAAAAATTTTTTGTCCAACAATTGTTTCCAATTGATCTGTTCGTACAAAATCATCGGGTACATTTTGATTGTTAATTCGTCGTACATTTAAATTGGCCATTATTGATAGATTAGATTCAAAATGACAATCACCGGTTATTGTTTGATTTGGTTTATTAAGCCATAATGCTTGATCATAAATGTCATCAATATTAAAGCCATTTAAACGGCCACCAGAATCGATTATCAATTCATTAACAATTAATTTGTTAACAAATTCTATAGCCATTGTCAATGATGTTGGTTGATCGATTCTAATGATTGAATGTAAAAGGGAACCGAAATCCATTCCATTCATATTGATAACATTCATTTGACCGGATCGTAATTTTCGACTATCAACATGTACAGGATTACGTATACGTTGTTCACCATTAGTCAACAAAACATTATCCGAATCAAAATGTTTTCTATTGACAAATTGAGCACGAATTAAATCATCAACAATTAATGTACGATAAAAACGTTTATGGCCACTTATCACATGATTTCCATTAACAGTAACAATATTTGATGCATTGAATCGTTCATTAATCAATGTATTTAACCAAATTGAACTGTTCATTTGATCAATATAATCAAATGACATTGGTTCATTGATTTGTAATTGTAGATTATTATTATTATTATTATAATTATCATAATCAGACAATCGAATTTTGATGATCTCGAAATATAAATCACGAATCATTTTATCATTAAGATGATCAGTAATTATATTCATTGTTGCTGGTAATGATGGTATTGTTGAAAACGATTGATGATGATATGATGTTGGTAATGGCCATTGTGATCGTATATGATTACCGTCATATTTAATTATGGACAGTGATAGAAATGAAAAATTTCCCGTTATTATCTGTACATGTGCTGAATTGATAAACACAGCATTCGATGTAAGTAATTCATGGCCTTTTTGAATCTCTTTTTCAATAGTAATCAATTGTCGTTTCATATTATATAATTCGTTGAAATATTCTCTATTTAATGATAATTCATTGTTTATATTACGATAATCACTGGTTTCCACGGTTGTTCCTTGATGTCCAGGCACCGTAAGTGTACCTCGAATTATTAATGGATCAGATTTAAAATATGATTCATGAAAACGTTTCTCAATTTGAATACTATGTTTCTCTAGATCAGCAATTTCATTTCGTTTCATATGACACCATTTTAAATGTTCAGTCCATAATTTGAATAGATTATTATCATGAAAAAAACGAATCGAATATAAACGGATTCCATTCATGCCACCAATCATAAGATGAACATTGCTTAATGTTGAAATTTTTTCATCATTATCATCATCATCAGAATGATAACTTTCCATGTGATGTGAATCGTGAATTTTTTTCAAATAAATTGGTTGCATAGGATTAACATAAACGCGAATATTTATGGGTGAATATATGAAACGTAATGAATTATATGTGATAAAATAGATATCATTACTTTGTAATATTATGGCCATCACAAACATTCGTTTCACATCACCATATGATTTTACATGGCGAATCGGTCCAGATGTGATCCGTTGGAATACGATAAATTCACGTTTAGATTTCAAAAATTTATACATTACAATATGATTCTCTTCAACTATTGCCAAAAAATTTTCCTGATTGATGCCATGACCAATAATGAAATATTCAATACCGATAACTTTTTCACTACATTGAATCGATTGAATTGGTTCCAATCGTTCCATATAATCATTATAGCTTAAAATGGAAACATCTTTAGGCGTTTTGTTATCCAAGCTATGACCATAGCCTAATACAAGATATGATATACCGTTTAATGTGAATGCATAAATAGAATTCAAATCATTGGTAACTGGCCATACAAATTCGACGTGATCAAAATAGGTTCCAACAAATTTGAACATTTTCAATACGCCTTCAAATATATCATGTACAATAATCATGTTACGTTTTTCCCAGATGGCCACATTTGTTGTAGAAATTTTTTTCAAACTAGCCAAATGATTTTGATAAATGATTTTATTGTTGCTATCGATCTGTATCCATTCAATATTCTGTTCATTTATTGTATGTTTTTCATTGACCAAAACGATGACTAATATCTCTTCTTCATTTGTTGTTGATGATGATAACGGTGTGAATGATGATGAAGCACGACGTTTATCGACAAAGGCTAAAACTTTTTTTGGCCTAACCATATCAACCAATGTGTATTCGTGTATTATTGGTTCATTGACGTTGTCCATTTTTTTATTGTTATTGGTGTCTTGTCCATCAATGGCACCAAAAAATAGTTTATTTTTTTGTACACTATCTGCCATAGCTTCTGTTGTCGACATTTTCATTGTTTGCTGATGTTGTTGTTGTTGGCCTTTATTATTGGCTTCTTTTATCAAACAAACAATATATTGATTGCGATTGAATTTGACAAGAACAAAATCGATTATGAATCCTTTTTTCGAACAAATTGTCTGCAAACGTTTGATCGGTTGACTTTTATTTTGATTTTTTTGTTGTTGGCCTTTATGATCAGCATTTTGTTCATTGTCACCATCATATTCTTCAATTGGTACAATCTCTGAAATCAATTGTATTCCCTGGACACATGGATTGGTTAAAAAAAAAAAAAAAAGAAAAAGGAAAAATGAAATGAAATGAAATGAAAAAATGAAAAATGTCAAAAAAAAATGTTCTATTATAATTCAATGGGGCTGGTGGTGGGGTCAGGGAATAAGATTCAAGAATATTTTCTTTCTTATTGTCTATTTCAGCTTCATTTGTTTTTAGTTTGTTTTCAAAACAGGAAAAACAACAACAACAACGACAACAACAAAAAAAGAAAAGAAAAAAAAGCTAAAAAGATAAATACATCACGAATGAAATCTGGAACAAAATAATCTTCCGATTGTATTGATCTTCGTTTTCTTTTTCGAGCTGGTTCCAAAATGTCCTCATCATCATCATCATCATCATCATCATCATCGTCATCATCCGTTATTGTTGTCAACGAAGATGGAGGCAGTGATGGTAACATGTTTCTAATATGAATTAGTTCATTATAAAATTCGTCGGTAGCTTTTTCCATTTCGCCAACAATTTCATCTGAATTTAGAAATCCAAAAACGAAAAAAAAAGAAAAAATAAAACATTTGTTCGTGTTTAATTCATTATTTAATTTTTTCAGTCGAATTAACTTGGTTTTTTTCTGGTTTTGGTTTTGGGTTTGGTTTTCGTAATTATAATTATCATCGTCATTAAAAACCAACAAAAACCGTATTGAATGAAATAAAATTCATGCATGCATTCATTGTAACACAATACAACCAAAAAAAAAAAACAAAATGAAAATGAAAATGAACAACGAAACAAAACAAAGGAAAAAAAAATTCAATCCACACACTAACCATAAGTATAAAGTTTTTCATTATTATTATTATCATCATCATCATCATTTGCCATTATGACAATATTGTTGGCCAAATTATTGTTGTGATCAAAAAATATGTTGCCCTAAAGATGCTGATGATGGAAAATTTGTAACAATTTTGAAATCATTATCATTATCAACATTATTAACATTATAATAATAGTTGCTGCTGTCATTGCCAATGAATGTTGTTGTTGTTGTCGTTGTTTTGGTTGTTTTTGGCAAAAATTGTGCCCAAACCATTCCATCATAATATATTTGAAACAATAATATAACAAACAGAAACCAAACAAATGAAATTGTTCCAAAATGATGCTGATGATAATTATGATGATGATGATGTTTCATACGATCCATGATAATGACACACACACACACAGAAGAAATAAAACGAAAAAAGGGTTGTTGTTTACAGTGATTTTTTACTAACATCAAAAAAAAAAAAAATTAAATTAAAAAAATTAAAATGTGCTGTGTTTTGTACTGAATAAATATTTGAAAAATTTCATTCCAAAGAAAAAAAACTTGATGATGGAAAACAAAATTTTAATTTTTGACTCAAATACCAAAAATTAAGTTTCAAGTTTTTTTCATCGATGAAAAAATCATTGTTCAAAAGAAAACAAAAAATCCAATGTATAGATGGCATTCAATACTTTGGTATATGCGTGTGTGTGTGTGTATGCGTGCGTTTCAATCATCATCATATGTTGTTTATATGTCTGGAGAATCAATCCAAAAAAATATTATCGAATTCCGGACAAATCAATTTTTGAAAATTTTTTTGAAGAAATAAAAGAATTTTAAATTCAAAACCACAACAATGATTTTGAATTCAAACATGTACCGAATACAATTCTGAAATCGAAACAAGAATTTTTTTTTTATTTCTCAGTTTTATATTGTTTTCCTATTTACTGTTTTTCAATGTTTTTTCCCCTACTTTAAAATGATTTGCATTTTTTATATGAATATTTTAACGGACAAAATACAGAATACCGAATTCCGTTACATCAGTCAAAAAAAAAAAAAAAGTTGAATCACACAATAAAAACCGAATTAGGGTTTATATAGAGAGGAAAAAAAAGAATAGAACTATGGTTCGGTGATGGATGAATTCCCTAACAAACAAACAAATCTGAATCCAAATCAATAAATGAATTCTCAATAAATAATGTACAAATAAAGGAAATGAAATGAAATAAGAAATTCTGGATCTTTTCCGAATGGATGTGGTTTATGTTTTTTTTTGTTTTTTTGTTTGTAGTTATTGCTTTTCCCTTCACTTAAACATTTTCTTTTTCTGTTTTTTTTTTCACCACCATTGCCATCATGAATCTGATCACGGATATGTTTATATTCCACAGAACAATTGTGTTTTGTTGATCAATCAATTTCAAAATCACATAAAATACATAGATGAATGAATAAAAAAAAAAAAACATAAACCCATGTCAGAATGAAAAAAAGTCAAGTCCACTTGGTTTATTGAATTGATTGTATTTTATTTTGGAAAACAAAAAACAAAAAACAAAAACTTTATCCAACATTTATATATAGTATATATTTGTTATGTTGATGTCTGCAGACATTGTCTTTTTGTCGTAGCCAGAATAAAAACAAAAAAAAAAAAGAAAAAACTCTCCTGATAACATTTACATTTACCATATATAAACAAGAATCAAGAATCAAGAAAACTTTGATAATAATATTTTTTTTTTCATCATCATCTTGAACTTTGTTGTTGTTTTTTGTTTCTCGAATGAAGAAAAACATTTTTTTTTCTCTCTCTCTCCATTCTGCCTTCATACTGTTGTCATCAATAAATTAACTTGAATAGTGAATGAAGGGAAAAAAATTTATAACAAAAATGAAAATTTGTGTAATGATAGAGTTCATATAAGTAGTAAGTCCTGTATAAATACATGTGAAAGACCTCATATATCGTTGTTGTTCATTGATGAAAATAAATGTAAAAAAAAAATTGTCAACAACAACTCGACAATGGAAATGGAGAAAAAAAAATGAAAAATGACAAATAATACCAATTTCTGCCAATCAACTGAATACACGAAATACAAACATGGAATTTTTGGCCAACCAAAAAAAACTAACTAACCAAGAATAAAGTGGCTACAATTCTAATAGCAAATTTTTTTCCCTTTATTTTGAATGCCAGGATTCTACACACTATCAAGATTAGAGACCATTTTTTTTTCTTTTCATTCTTTCGAACAAAAAAAAAAAAAAGAAAAACATCTAAAGATTCTTTACTATATTTCAATTCAATTGAACTTGTTTTGTATTCCATTATTTTTATTATTATTATTATCATCATCATCATCATTCAAACTTTAGGTTTTCACATTCTTTCATATATATGATGATACGTTTTATGTTTGTATTGTTTGTATTTAGAAAAAAAAAGTTGTCTAAAAAGAAAAATCCCTTATATCGAAAGCTAATTGAGTTGAATGATCTGTAAGAATTTTTTTTTTCGTTTTATCGAATCGAAACTAAAGCGTCGGCGTCAATCGAATAATGATTATGATCACCACAGGATTGATTCAACATGAATCTCTGGTTTCAACATCATCAACATATACATATATCTTTATATCAAATGAAATGAAATGACACACGCACTTTAAAACACACACTCACACACACACATTAAACATTTCAAAATCAACACAGACATACATACATAATAATCAAAATAATCTTGTAAATGTCACTACATCTTCATCTTGGATCATTTTACTTTTTTTTTGGTTCAAAAAAAAAAATTTTCTCCATTGTTTGATGCCAACCAGACTGTCTTATATTCGATTCTGTAGGCTATTGAGTTTCATGTTGTTTTTTCTGCTTTCTAAATGTTGTTAGGTGACAATCACTGAATCACATCATACACACACACACACACATTGTCAATGATTTCATTTTCAATGAAAATTTCTGATTAAAGAATTTTAGATCCATTTACGTTTTTTTTTCTTTATTCGTATGTTGTTTTGTTCGATCAACTTTAATGTCATTACACTGTACAGAGATTTTTTTTTTTTTTTTTTTTTTTTGGTTATTCAATTGAATTTTTCTATTGTATGTGAATGTTGAATATAATGATAGTAGTAGTTATCTTCTTCAATGAAAATGTTTTTGATGATGGTTTTACTTTTTGATTCATTCTATAGTCATTTCTGTTTTTTTTTCTTTTCCAAGATTTGTGATTGTTTCTGATTCAAATACAATTGTCAATTTTTTTTTTGATTTTATTTATACACGATTTAACAGTTATTCTGTGATGATGATGATGATGATGATAGTGCAGCCATCATCAGTAATGAATTTTATGTTGTGTAAATTTGTTTTCATTTCTCACACTTTTCTTTTATTTGTTTTTCCTATAGTATGAATAAATGTTCCCAAAATGAATGTTGATTCTATTTTAATGTCATGAATCACCCGCAGTTTAGTTAGTTATATATAACAGAATCAATGACTATACCCTATTATATATTCTGGTGGATTCTTTTTTTTTGTTCACACATTCATTCATTCATTTCGGTGCTGTTCTATTGTTTGTCCTCATTTTTCATCATCATTATCATCATCATTACTTATTATTTTTGTTAACAGATTTGGGTATTAGTTTGGAATTTCCGTTTCGACTTGAATTTATGTCCAATACACACACAAATATGGCATTGAATGAATAGCTTGATTAAATATAGAGTGAACGATGAGTGTACAATGACCATATGATTGAATGAATGAATTGGATTCCAAAAAAAATGGGAGTGAAAAATAATACCAAAACAAAAAAAAACTTACTCTATCACTAATAATTGGTGAGGAACAAAAGAAAAATATTTTCCAAGTACATTCAACTCCTGTATATAATACACAGTAATTGAAAACATTGGGTCATTATAATGAAAAAAGGGATGTTGTTGTTCGTCATCATCAACTATGGTGGCTGAATTTTTTTTTCTATTCTATTTATTTGCGTTTGATCAAATATTGGAATTTTTTCTTTTGCTCTAACAAATCTATCTACAAAATCTTGATAATGAATCTGGATGGATGTAGAAAATCCAAGTCATGAAAATTACCACAGGCAGAATATTCTAGTTGAAAATTTTTTTGTAATTTGAAATTTTTTTGTCTTCAAGTACATTTTCAGTCATTCCTTATTTCTATTATCATCATCATTAGTTATTGTTTTAATGGAAAGAAAATACTACATCAAAAAAAAAAAATTTGGAATATGAAACGAAAGAATTTTTCCCTTGTTTTCAACTTTTTTTTTCAACACAACTAGATATATTCTGAACACACACACAAAAATGATGTCATTAATTGCAAATGTAATTCCGTTTTTTTTTTGTTTTCTGCTGTCTAGATGTTTAGATGAAATTGACAACTTTATTCATTCATTCATTCATGATGAAAGAATATTGATGGTTAATTTGAATGAATTTGCATTATCATTTCTTTTCATTTATCAGCAGTTTTTTTTTGTTTGGTTCTGATTTTTCTTTTTTTTCCCCCACTTTATTTGATCAATCGTTATTTTTCTTCTTTTTCTTTTTTTTTTTTTTTAGTTTTGCCGTCAAGATACGATATGTTCAAACAAATCATCAAATCGAAAAAAAAGTTGAAAGACAAAAAAAAGTGTAAAAAATGATATTTGATAATGATAAGGGACTTGGAATTGACAGATTGCAAATTCTTTTTCATTTTTTTGATTTGGAATGAATTCCATTTCAATTCTATTCATTGGAAATGATGATGATGATGATGATGACATTTGTCGTAATGGTGCAATGATTGTTTTTTTTTTTTTTTTTTTTGGTGCAATCAATTCGTTTTGATTTTGATTTTGAAATATTTAAATTTTTTTCTTTTTTTGTTTGTTTGAATATAAATGAGTGAATGAATGAAATCAGAAAAATTTTGAATTTTGGAAATTTTTTTCATGTTAACTCTGTCCATTGAGTTCGATTAAACCTTTTAAAGATAATTTGATAACTTGGCAAATCATAATTTGACCTTGAAATTCATAAAAAAAAGTCAACAATGAATATAAAAAAAAAATTCCAAAACATAGTGGCTGTTTTGTTATTCTTTCTTCACTGTAGTTACAATTTATGAAATCGTTTTTTTTGTGTGTGCAGAATTTAAAGGTGGAAAAAATCAAATGAAATGTCAACGATGGAATTTATGTAAATTTTCAAGATAAGTTGGCCATTTTTTCCCTCAATTCTTCATACAATATTGTACTACTTGAGATGAACGAGAACTGAATTTAAATTGTTTGTTTGTTTGTTCGTTCTTATTGTTAAAGATATTAAAGAGCGGATTAGATAGCTTTATATACATTAATTTAAAAGCCATTCAAAATGAATGTAATGGAATGAAAAAAAAACGAAAAGGGATACTCAACCATGGAACAATTTTGTTGCCATTTTATAAGCCAAAGAGAATAAGAAAAATGAGATGACAAAATTGTAATGAATATTCGAAAAACATTTTTGTTTTGTTTTGTTTTGTTTTGTTTTTGTTTTTGTTTCAAGATTAATACACGTTATGAAATATCCAATATACAGATACAAACAAACAAACAAAACCCAAATTCAACCCTCAGTTACTTACTTAATCACAAGTATTTAATTCATATATATCTCGGATAGTTTGAACAAAATAAAGCCCAGATATTATGAAAAAAAGACTTTATGAAATAAGAATCCATGTGGTTGAAAGAAAAAAAAAAAATTCGAGATTTTCCACAGAAAAAAAAGGATCATCTAAAATGATAATAGGGGATTCCAATTCCATGAATTCATAATTTCATAAAATAAAGTGAAACAGAAAGAGTCAAATGTTGTCATTTACGCAAAACATTTCAATTGTAACATAAATGTCTATATTTGAGATATATTTGATTCATTGGATTCCAGATAATCCAGGATTCATTTATTCATTCTAATGCCGGCGATTACGAAATTTGTAATTCTTGTGAATGTATTGTTGTAACAGAATAAATTGAAAAAAAAGAATCAATTCGAAACCTAGATGATATTAGAAATTTTTTTTCTTTCAAGTTGAAATTCTAATTATCATTCTAAAGGCAACATTCCTACGCAAAGTAATAATAATGATGATAACATTTGCATCAAATTCTTATATTGAGGTTTTTTTCCACATTTTTTTCGAATGTATTGATAATTACAATTGTTTTCAATTTAATGTTCATGATAATGTACACACATTCATGTGTATGACATCAAGATGGAGAAAGAAAGAATAATAAGAATGACATTCATATAAGCTTTTAATGTTCAAACGGGCGCACACAAACACACACGCACACACAGACAAGGAATCGATCAATATCTTGATTCTTGGAAAAAAAATTGACAATGTCAAATCAAAAAAAGCTATACAATTCTTTATTCATTCATTTATTTGTTTATTTTGTATTATTAATAATCAAATATATGAAAAGTCGATGACATGTGACACACACACACAATACACTATTGATCATTATTCTTATTATCATTTATCATCATTCATATGAATATATAAATTATTCAATGGTAATCAAGATTCATTTGACGGAATATCATTCATATCGATATAAATATATGATTGAAGTGGAAAACAAAAGAAAAAAAATTCATGAGAAATAGAAATATGAAATGTTATAATATTCATAACCAAATCAAACAAACAATTCATACAATAATGCATAACTTGGCTTGGTTAGCCATTGATAGGTGTTATATTTTTATATTTACCATATATAAGAGTCCAAGAATCTAGATTTCCGCAATTACATACATCATATATTTATGATGGTGAATGGTGGCCTTTTGGGATTCAAATTCTTGTCCACTTGTCTTTTTTTTTGTTTCTATATTTATATTTAGTGAACGATTATATTCATGAATGAATAGAAGAAAAAAATAGAGGCAAGAACCAGAAAAAACAACAACAACAACAACAACAACATGATCATAGCGGAAACAAATGTGAATGAGAAAAAAAAGGAAGAAGACGAAAAAGAAAAATATTAGATCTACAAGAACAATGGGCTATAATTATGGTGAAAAAATTTTCAAAGAAGATATATCCGATGAGTGGAGAAAAAAAGATTTTTTTTTTTCGGAAATGCAACCAACCAAAACTGCCATCCTAATGATGACCATAAAAGCTTAGAATGATAATGATGGAATATGTCTGAAAACAAAATTGAATTTATTTATTTATTTTTCTTTATAAGATGTTATCAAATCAAACAAAATGTGATGAAAACGACAGCAATTTTTATTCATTTTTTTTCATCAAGATTACAATGATTATATAATGATGATTCAATGAATTTCATTTGGAACAAAAGAAAAAAAAATGAAAAGAAGAATCTGAAATGAAATTGATCAACATACACACACGCAAATTATTTGTATCGATCCGTTCAATCATTATTATTATGAAATTAAATTGGATGAATGAATGAATGAAGATGAAACAACAAAAAAAAATTGATTGACCAAAAAGGATCGTTCAGCATTTAGTGTGTTGGTGTGAGTAAAAAAAAAAAAAATTCTTTATGGAATGAGATGAATACCCGAATACTCGTTATACAATCAATCATCTTTCAAAGAATTCTGTTTTATATTTGAATTCAATGACAGTGATGATGAAGAAAAAAAAATAACAATCTTTTCAATGATTTTATCATCATTCTCAGCAATTGTGTTTGTTTGTTTGTGTGTGTGAATACAATATACTTATTGATAATGATGATGATTAGCAGTGAAGAATTGTGATTCTTTATTTTTTTTTTTTTTTTTGCTCACTATCACCAGTTTTATATTGCAAATTCTTGGTGGTCTCTTTCATGACAATATTGTTGTTTATCAGCATGTGTAATGTGTGTGTGTGTGTACGATGTAGATGGAAGATTTTTTTCCATTGAAAAAAAACGGAAATTCATTTTCATTGGAACAGGAACGAAAAAAAATAGAAGAAGAAAATTCTGGTTATTCTTTTGTCATTGTTATTGTCTCTTTATATGAATTTTTTACAGGTGTAATTTTTGTACTTGTTCTGTTATTCTATGCAAATTTTGATGATCATTTTATGATGTATAAATTAATTTCATTGTTTGTGAAATGTTCATTTTGTTTCAAGAAAAAAAAATGAAAAACAAAAAAAAGGTGTAATTGAATATGTGCAAAAGGAAATACCAATCTATGCTACATGAAAATTCAGCTTTAAATGATGATGAGCAATCAAAATGTGTGTGTGTTCGATTTTAATTCGATACCACACACAGACGATGAAAAACAAATCATCATTATAGAGAGAAAGGGAGAGAGAGAGGGGGCGAGAAAGAAATTCCTGAATAGGACACACCTAGATACGAATCCATAGTGTTTCATTTTATGTATTCCAAGAAACAAAAAAAAAGAAAAGAAAAGAAAACTCATCAATTTTGAGTAAGAAACATTTGGGTGAGGAGAGAAAAAAAAAAAAAAATTTATTTAATGACATGATTGAGGGAAAAATTTTCATTATCAGAAAGACATTTTGGATTTCATTTATTTTTTTTTCGTGTGTGTGTAATGACAATGAATGAAATGGGAGAAAAAATGCAATGACATGAGATGAAAAATAAAAATGATGGAATTTGGGACATAAATATAAAGATTTTCCATGAAAAATGATGATAAAATGAGTAAGAAAACAACAAGAATCGAAATTCTTGTAAAAAATTTTCTTTGACATCATCAGATATTATTCTAATCATGAAATTATGGTCCACAATGATGATGATGGTGATGACTTATTAGTGTATTGTATGCTGTCGTTGTGAATAGAAGATTTTTTTTCGTGTTTTTTGATATTTTGTTGTTTTGAGTTTCGAAATGAAAATTAATGTGTGTGTGTATGTGATCAAAGGGAGACAATTCTGATGACAAATATGTTGATGATAATGATGATGATGATGAAAATTAATAAAAATAAATATATGATGAATTGACAATGATAATGATGGTGGATTCAATTATAATGAGATAACGATGATGATGATAATAATAATACTGGAACGATGTATGTGGACAAAGAAAAAAAAACAATGTCGTATTCTCATTGTGATGAAGAGAATGTGACAATTAAAAATAGGATTATTTGATGATAAGATGTGTGTATTGGTGGTAAAGTTGATGTGTGTGTGTGTGTGTTTCAAACTACACGATTTGTGCTCAAATAAAGTGTATATATGCGAAAAAAAAATTCGAATCGCTGGAACACCTGACTTTTCAGGTTGTTATTTTTTTTCTTGGTGTTTTGTATCCATAAAACAATCATTTTGTCTGTTTTGTTTCACCAGTGGATAAAATCATGCAAAAAATGGCGGCGGTGATGTTGATTGTTGATTTTCACTATCTTTTGAATGTCGTCGTGAATTTGATGCCGATGTTTCTTTGAAATTTTTACAATTTTTTTTCAATTTATTATCACAATCATCATGATGATCATGATCATGATCATCATCATCATGATTATTATCACTATTATTATGATTGTTAGCCGTTGTACTACGTTTTAATTCTGAAACAACAAGATCAGTATATAGATCGGATTGTAAAAATCGTACATATGAATCGGATTCTAATAGACTTTGAATTTTTTTCTGTGCTTCATCAAATGTAAATTTTGATGGTGTTGCCAGATTTTTTTGCACATCCATACGTAGTTGATGGTCCAGATTGACCTGAAATTAAATAAATATAGAAAATGATGATTGGTGAAAGTGGGAGAGAGAGAAAAAAAAAAGAAAATTTATTCGATTTTTCATTGCATTTAAATTGAATATAAGTAAAAATGGAAAAAATTTCGACAGCTTTTCAATTTCATTACTATTGATGATAAGAAACATTCGGACATTTTGATGGAAATTCAATCTTTCGTTTTTCGTTCGTCTTCAAAATCTTTAATCGATTTATACTGTCATCGAATTTTTTTTTTCGTTCAGGTAATAAATCAATTCTCTCTCTCTCTCTCTCGCTCTCTCTTGCTCTATCACTCTTTCTCTTTGTGTGTGTTCATGTGTGTTCCAGGAATTGAGAAAGAAAAAAAAAGAAAAGTGGAAAAAAAACATTTTTTCAAACATCATCCAAAATGGAATCACCATTTATTGCAATGAAAGAAGAAATAAAAAAGTCAAATGCAATTGAATCAAAAAAAAAAGTTGAAATAAATTGAAAAAAAAGGACCAGCGAAAACATGAAACTAATTGGAATGAAATAATAAATATAAATGGACATGCACCCGCACTTGATTACAATGTTTGTTTGTTTGTTCATTTTACCAAGATCGACATTTGATTGTTCGAAATATTCTGAAACAAAGACAATCAAAGCTAATGGTCTGGTGAAAGTAAATAGAGAATTGGCCAAAAAAAAAATGCATAAATTTCAGGAATAAATAAATGAGGAAAAAAAACATTAATATCGGCCTGTGTGTGTGTGTGTGTTTTCATTTGGATCGATTGGAACCTGTGCATACATGACACATAAACGCGCACATAGGAATTATCGATTTTGTTTTTTTTTCTATATTTTTTTTTCACTTCATTTCTTCTGTGGACAAACGATAAAGAATTGACTATGAACTATAGAGCTAAATGAGTAGCTAAATCATATAATGATGTTTATTTGTTGTGTGTATAAGTGTGTGTGTGTGTGTAAGTGTGTGCATTGTATAATAAATCAAATGACGATGTGCACATTCAACAACTTTTGTTTTTTTTTTTGTTGTTGTTTATCTCTATTTTTCAATGAACTTGTTTTTTTTCTCACAACAAGTACCGTTATCATCATCATCATCATCATCGTCATTATTTAGTTTGAATTATAATAATAATGATGATGATGATGATGATTTTCATAGCTATGGAATTTAGTCAATATCCGTCAGTTATTTGAATGTAAATAGATTTTTCTACGTTTTATTTATCATTTATTTTGGATTCTGGAATGAATGAATCTAAAATTGATAGAATAGAATCGATACGATCAATATAACACACACACACACACATACAGGAGGAGGTTGTGTTGGGCAAAAAAAAAAATCCACAATTCTCGACAATAATTTATGGAAAGTGAAAATGAAAACAAAAAAACTAGATAACGAAAAAAAAAGAATTTTTTTTTTTTTTTTTTTTTTTGACAACAACTTATAGACAATCGACGACAATCAATTTTAACTTACCTCCCTTGGTGAACCAACAGCAACATAATTGTCAAAAATTTTCTTTGCACGATGTCGTAATTTACTTGATCGTATTTTACGATATTCTTCACAGGCTAACCAAAATTCAATATTCTCGTCAGAGAATTCACGACAAAGAAACGCCCGAAATAATGCTGAACCGTCTGTGTGTGTTTTTCGTACAGTATAGTTTTGTGTACAATGTCGAAAGTACAATTGTACGACCAATGCCAAATTCGACCAAAAAAGAAAAAAAAAAAAAAAGAATTAACCGGAAAGAATATAGAGATTTTTATTATTAGTAATTCTGTATTTTTTTCATTTGTTCAATTTTCATTCAAAACAAATGTAATAATAAGAAGAAATAAATTATGAAAAAAAAAAAAAAAAAAAACGTACATCGATTAGCCATAAGATCACGAAATGATTTTGACCATTTTTCCACTTCGTCACGGGATGGCCTTACAGTCGATGCATGTAATGATGAATCTGTATGACGACGACTCAAAAATCGTAGCCGTTGTTTCATATCTTCCAGGCCGCCTGATCCACTACCCGACCTATGAATATACAAACAAAAAAAAAAATAGAAAAATAATGAAATTGAGAAAAAAATAAAAATATTGGAATTCTGTAAAATTACCACGTAAAAAACAAATTTTTTTTATTCATGAAATTTTCGAAAAAAAAATCTTTAGTCGTTTTGTTTACCAATCTTTTTTTTTTTTACACACAAACATTTCATATATTATTGATTTGCTTTATGTGTGTGTGTGTGTGTGTGTGTGTGTGAGACAGAAAATCTTTGCAACAAATATTTATCTATTTCTTATTATCGATTCTCGTAGATTCTTGGCATATATGAAAATTATTTGAAAAAACGCAGGAAAAAAATCATGTAATATTAACACCAACATCATCATCTTCAGCCACCACCGCCACCACCACCAAATCAACAACAACATCAACCAAATTTGACAACAAACTTTTCTCATTCTTTGATTATTATTCTACTCTTATTCCATAGAAATAATAGCCTGAATCTAATTTTTTTTTTTTGCTTTTCAATATTCTGATTCACTATTTTTTTTCTGACTAGATTTTATTTTATTTCATTTTCTTTACATTTTTTGTAGTAAGAAAATTGATTCATTCACTAGATTCTGTTGAGAATTTTTAGTTTTTATTCAACTTTTTGTGTTGTTAGTATTTCAGTATTTTTTTTTCCCGATTCTTCTCTTCCACCCTCCTTTATCCATCAGTCCTTGATAAACAATTTCTTATTGAGATTTGCTTATCGGTAGTTAACAAAAAAAAAAAAAAAAAATCCTCGCGGGCTTTGTCATCACTTTACTACTACACACATCTACTACCCAAACATGGTAGTGAGCTACACAAACAAACAAAAATGCCATAAAAACGTCATTTGCATTCAATAACGATCCAGTATATATGTAAAAAAACGACAATCATCACAATGATGATGATGTCGTCGAAAAAATTCAAAATTTGTGTGTTTACATCTTAAAGAATTCATTCAATTCATTTTCATCTGTTATTTACAATTGTATTATTTATAAACTCAGACACACACACACACACACAGAGAAAGTCTATGGTGGGTGTTTTTTTTTCGATGGCTCTCGAGAGAACTCAAACAAAACAACAACAACAACAACAACAAAATAAATAAACAACACGAATTTTAAACATCACAAACATAAAGTTTGTTTATTATATATTATATATTTGTTTAAGTGGTGTATGTTTGTAAGTGACATGACAAAATTTTCATTTTTCTTTTTGTTGATTTTCTTATAGCCAATGTTGTTTTTGTTGTTGTTGTTGTTATTATTATTATTAGTTGTCTATAGAATGAAATAATTAATATTCCTTAAAGATTTCAAAGACAAATAACAGAACAAGAATAATGAGAATATTCCTGATTACCTTTCTGATTATTATTCAAATTCATCATCATCATCATTCATATAAAAAATTTAAAAATCAAGAAAAAAAAATGTTCTCAAAATTTGAAGAATTAAACATTTTTCTAACATGTTGTTGATTGTCTCATTGAATTTTGGAATATTCTGTCTGTCTGTGTGTAATAGTTACATTTATGGCTGAGAAAAAAACCACCGAAAAAAAAATTTAGGCGAAATGAATATCATATACTGCTATGTTTGATAGATTTTTTGATAGTATTTGATCATTTGAATCTATTGATCTTTGCGCTTCATTGTATGAATGTAGTGTTTAGGTGTATGTAGGTCTCAAAAATATTCATTGACATCCCATACAGAATTTGATTCAAATTTCTACATGATTAGATTATGCAATTTAGCTCTTGAACATGAATAAGTTTCAATAAAAGCATATGATAATTTATTCTTTTTTTTTTGGTTTGAATTAACAATCAACATACATTTAAACACACATGCACTTGAATAATAATAATAACAATAACAACAAAATGAAAACAAGGATGTCACAATTGTGTAAACAATGAAAAAGTACGTCCAACTAACAATGAATGAATAAACAAAAAAAAAAAAAAAAAAACAACAACAACAACAACAACAACAACAACTGTTCTTGTTTTTGTTCAGGATCAAATAATGATGATGATGAAGAAATATAACTACCCACCACATTCACCAATAATGGAAAGACAAGAAAAAAAAAAGAATTTTGATCACAAACATTTAATTTCATCATGTTGAATCAACAACAACAACAGTAACAACGAAAAAAAATAATCGAAAATGATGATAATGAAAATGGGTGCAATTCTTTCATTCATACACACACACACACTTCGCCCACAAGTTCCACATGGTTCATATACTTGGACATTTTCTTTTTTCCATTGGTTCAAATTGTTCATTTTCATTCATTGCGTGTGCGTGTCAATGTTGAATGCACAAGATGAAAATAATAATAATAATTACAATTTATGATTGCGGAACAAACAAATGGTGGTGAGCTAGTTTTTCCATGTTACATGTGAATCCATTTTTTGTTTGTTTTGTTTGTTTACAAGACAATCGTCATCATCATTTACAATGGAAAAAAATTAAGTTAAGTTTTGATAATCTAACTACTAAATGTCAATGGCCATCAAGTAGAAGGTATGATTCAAAAAAAAAAGAATTCAAAAGAATTGCATGAATTAATGAGGACTCGATTAAATCAGGTGATGACTACTAAATCAACGTCTGTGTCTGTGTGTGTGTGTGTGTGTAATATAATTGAATTCCAAACAATTTCATTCCACTTTCATAATGCAATAAGTGGTTTTTTTTCTCGATTCCATAATGAATTCATTTCAAGAATATAATAAGCTCTATTTTATCGATCTCTAAGGTATCATATTATATCGAATTACATTCGAATAAAAAACGAAAAATAAAAGATAACAAAACAGAAAAAAAAATTTACTTACATTGCATCATGTTGATCATGTTGATGATGATGATGATGATGATAATAGTGATGACGTGAATGACGTGAATGATCCTGTTCATCATTGCCATTATTGCCCGGTGATGATGATGATGATGGACGATTCTTTGTTGATTTATCTTTTAATCGTCGTTTCTTTGACTACGTTTTTTTTGAAAAGAAAACAAAAACAAAACAGAAAATCAACGAATAATAATAAATAAATTAATTCAGTCATCAAGACAAGATAAACATTCACCAAAAACACCAATCAACAATAATGTCTGTCACTAAGTACAATTTGATGACGAACAAAAAAAAATAAAAAGAAAAATTAATTATTCAGCTCATAGAATGAATCGATTAATTTTCAACTGTTTTTGTTTTCGCTGTACTGATTTTTGTGTGTGTTTAATTTTGGGTTTCCAAGACCAAGACCAAGACCAGTCCAAAATCTCAATAAATACACTGTGCATGCGCGTTCACTATATGTTTATTCTATGCATGTGTGTTTTCTTGAATAATTTCTATCACAATCAAAATGCCAAAATAGGTTAATCGAAGATTGTATAGTGTGTGTGTCGACACAAAAAACAAAAAAAACCAAAAAAAAACTTCCGCGATAGTGAAAATGATGAAATGAGATAGGAAAAGTCTATGAAATCAATGAAAAATAAATAAATAGAGACTGATAGAAAGTTTGAATGAATCAATATAAGTTTTTTTTGTCTTTTGTTAGGCTAAAATAAAAAAAAATTATTATTCATTATCTCATTCTTTTATCAAATTTCCATAGAATTTAATAATACCGATGATATAATCAAAGACAAAAGTTAATATGATAAAATAGAACGGATATGAATCAATGAAATTTTCAAAATTTACGCATTAAAGCAAAAAAGTTGCAAAAAGGTTCCTCGGAAGCATCGATAACTCATACATTTTCTTTGATTTATTTTTTAATGAAAAAAAAATCACAAGATAATAGACAATGGCTTTTTTTCGGCCAGAATCGTTTCTTTATTCATTTGATTTGAATGAATTTAAATTCGATTCATTATCCATGACGACAACAACAACAACAACAACAAAAGAATCACTGAGAAAGTTCATTATGATTCAGATGAATTCAGTATGGATTCTATAAATATCGTTTCCATTATCTTCATCATCATGACAATTATCATGAGGCTCATAAGATTTTTTTTATGATTTTTTTTTTTGGTTCGCATTAAATTTCATTCTAAGAAAAAGGTATTTTCAAATGCAAATTTCCGGTGTGTGTTTGTGTGTGAGTGTGTGTGTGTGCGTACACAACACACGAAAAAAACTAAACAAAAAAAAAACCGGGAAAAACATTTTCAATGAATTTTTTAGTATTGATTTTCTACACTCGAATCCGGTTATCAAAGTCATCAAATGAACGGTTCAATGAAGCCGATTTTTGCTTTTTTTTTTGTGTGTGTGTGTGTGTGTGTGTACATTAATAAATGAAAAAATGATTTGTCCCCTCTTATCGATGGCGTCGTTTTTCGCGTTCTCTTTCGTTATTTTTATTCTTTTTTTCCACTATTTTTCAAGGAAGTTTCTAAAAATAGAACAGTACACAGAAAGCCAGAAGATTGTTTTTCCATTTTTGGCATGTGTAGACAACAAAAAAAAAAAAATAGAATGAGAATGAGAATGAGAATGTTCTTCGGGTGAATCACACAATATAGATTGAATGCCATCATCATTTTCATATGTGTGACTATTGAGTCTCAATGATTCAAGTTAGACAAAAGAAAATGAAAGAGAAAGAGAGAAAGAGACCGAAGATCAGACAAATCTGAAATCATATTGAGTTCAATATTCGTTGATAATGGAAATAGCCGGAATAACGTTTTTCATGGCTGAATTATTTTATCATTTGTCACAATATATAGTTGTTATATAATGTATATAATGTGTATATATATGTGTGTGTGTGTTTGAATGAATTTCTGATTGATGGCCGTTGGTTGTTGTTGTTGTTGTTGTTGATGAAAATATTTACACATCATCATCGGAACGAAGAGATCAAGATTCTTGTTAAATTGAACCATTTATATATACTGTAGTTTACAAATTCTGTTTCATTGTTTTTTTTTAGCCTTTGGTTTTTTGTTCTCTCTTTTTTTTTTTATTGTTGACTTCCAAAAAAAAAAAAAAAAAAAAAAAAATTCTAACCAACTGTATATTATTGTATACAAGCAAACATTCATTGATATAAAATCGAATGATACGAATGACTACAACAACAACAACAACAACAATGATGATGACGAAAAAAAAATGAAATGAAACAGTAAACAGGTTCCATTTTGATAATATCCGAAAATAGCAATTTTTGTTGTTGTTGTTGTTGTTGTTGTTTGGTTGGTCATGTTATTTATGAAATGTGTTTATATTTTTGTACTTCATTTGGGAATTCTTTGACCAATAGACAAAAAAAAAACTAAACATCAAAACTAAACATAAAAACTACACAGATTTGTGTATGTGTGTGTGTTTGTGAATAGTGGGAAAAAAAAAATATTACATGTTAATGTAAAAAAATGTCGAGTAGATATACCAATGAATTGTTGTTGTCGTTGTTGTTGTTGTTGTTGTTGTTTTTTCCTTCCGAATTCACTATATAACCATTTTATATTATTCAAAGATCAAATGTTATCATGTGAATACGTAATTTTTTTTTGTTACTTTTCCATTTTCATCAAAACATTCAACAACACATACATAAAGTTTGAGTGTAGTGAATGAATTTGTGTCCTAGAATCATGTTTTATAATTTTTAATAAATGTAGTGAATGCATGCATGCATGCATGCATGTTAATACGATCAAAATAAAAACAAAATCATCGGAATTAAAATTTCATTGAAAAGAAAAGATTATATTACATAACAACAACAACAACAACGAAGAAAAAAATCATGTGAACTTTGTTGTTATCATCATAATCTATAATGGCCATCATATATTTACATACATTAACAATTTAATCATCTTTATTATCAATCAATCAATTTTTCTCCTATTTCATCAATATATAATCGTAATCATTATGATCATTACGGTTTCATCATCATCATCATCAGAATATTGATGATTTTCTTTGATTTTTATTTTCTTGTTCCACTTTATTCATTAATTCATTCATATTTAGATGAATATTGATTGAGAAATGTTCGAATGTTGATAATGATGATGATGATGATGATGATGATGAAATCGATTTTGTGTACATCACTAATTTTTTTTTCTATGATTCTGTGACAAGAATCTTTTTTTAGTTGAAATAATTATTACATAAGAAAGATTCTGCTTCATCGTTCCGAATAAATCGATGAAAAAAAAACTGAGAAAGCCCAGAGAAAATGGAGAAAAAAAACAACAATTTCGGAGAAATTCGTTAATAACAATAATGATTATGAATAAAAAAAAAAGAAGAATCTTGCTGTTTTTTAGGATTTTCAGACTTTTTTTTCACCCTCTACTGGTTTTTTTTCGATTTTTTTTGTTGAAACTTTGATGCAATGAAAAAACTTTTATTCTCATTTCATATTATTTAAATTCTATGTTTTTTTTCCTAGTTAATGGTTAAGTGTTTTCATGATAGGGTTAGATGCAGTAGTTTCTTTCAGAAACTTTTTCCACCTAACGAAAAAAAAACTTTTAACCGATTTAAGTACGATCTGGCATAAACCACATTCAATGATGATGATAAGAATTCTTCCACATCACAGAATCCATTTGACAATGACAACAGCAAACAATAACGATATGAAAAAAAACTTTCATTTTGTGCTTTCATTAGCATCCAAATGAATGTCAAACTATATATATGTGTACCGTATTCTAGCCATTAGTTTTGGTTTTGGTGGTTGATCCAGATTTTTTTCTTTTACTTTTCACTATTAAAATCAACATGGCCAAAAAATAAATTAGAGAAATGATCGTTTTTTTTTCTTTGGTCTTGTTTCGAGAAAAATCTTCATTTTCTTCATTTAAATTGATTGATTTACAGAAAAACGAGAAAGTTTTGATGAGCAAAAAAAAAAAAAAAGATCATCATCATCATCATTAATATTGGCAAATCGATTTCTAGTGGACAAATCCTCTTAAGAACAAATCTTTATGTTGAGAATGCAATTATGAAATCTTCTAAAGACTAGAGCAAATGAATAGTGTGATAGGAATCATACAATTCATGGACTCTTGTCTTGTGAAATTTAATGAGAATAATAATTTTCATAACAAAATTAAAAAATTTTAGCAAGAAACTCAATAATCTAACCTTGAAAAAAAAGAACAAATATCATAATAAACCTGAAAAAAGTTCGAAGACCTTTTTGGATTACGAGAAAAGTTTTTATTTTCATTTTCTCAAAAATCAATTGGCCTTTTTTTTTGAACACAGACAATGATGATCAATCTTCATTGAAGTCAGAATAAAACCAGACCAAACTAAAAAAAAAAAAAATGAAATTTTGTTCGGGCAGCATCAAGATGAACATTTATTTGATTGATTGATTCGGATCCATGAACAAGAAAAAAAAGGATCCTGCCAAAAAAAAAAATGGAAAAATTTCCATGACAAACATCACCATGTGAATGATTAACGGATATAAGGCCAAACAAAAAAAAAACAAAAAGCAGACAAACACAAAAAAGTTTTGTTCCAATGAACTTCAACTTAATTAATTTTTTTTTTTTTGTTCTTAACATATAGGGTTTATTCATGTTTGTTTGATGAACAATAATGATGATGATGATGATGATAAAATAAACGGATAGTAATACAAAACCGGAAAAAAAAGTTTGACTTACCCGTGATTTTGATTTATTTTTACTACTACTACTACTACTACTATAATGTGATGAATGATTATGGCCAGATGATTTTGTTGAAGCCGCAAACATTGATGATACATTATTATGTTCATTTGGTGGTTCATGAGCAAGAAATAATGCATATGATGGTACATCTTTACTTGCACCAGCACTATGTGTACGTCGCAATAATCGTACAAGACGTGTTGCCGATGCGGAAGTAATTTGAGCTATAGAACCTTTACGTTTACGATTTGTATTTATCGATTTGCCAACATTATCATCATTATTTGATCGATATTTTGATGATGATGATGTTGATGAACATTCATTTGTATGAGTGGTTTTATTTTTCGTTGAATTTGTCGTTGCTGTTGTTGCGGTTGTTGATTGTTGTTGATCACTATTAAATTGGTCATCATTTGATGTTACATTATTGCGACTATTTGAATTGGAACGATGTGATTCCTATATAGAATTGGGAAACGAAAAAAAAAACAAACAAACAAACAATCGAATATATTTTAGTGGTAAAAATATGACAACAATAATAACAAATAACAAACAGAATTATTATTGGCACAGAAAAAAAAGGCCAATGGCAAAAAAAACAAATCGATATATATTAAATGAAAACAAACAATCGAATATATTTTAGTGGTAAAAATATGACAACAATAATAACAAATAACAAACAGAATTATTATTGGCACAGAAAAAAAAGGCCAATGGCAAAATTCTTATTCATTATTTTCTTATTGTTCATTTTATTAATTATATTGTATTGTATATTTGTATTTATCGATATATATTAAATGAAACTTACAAAAGAACGATCGGTATTTAATGATGCACCAAGTTTTTGACACAAAGAATCTGGTAATAATAACGATGCTATTATGGCCGTCATACTACTATATGAATATGAAAAACAAAAATTGATGAATGATTGTGTTTTTCATGGTTTTTTTTTCATGGAAATAAATGCCAGAATAAAGTAAAATATTTCTACATACTTTTTACGTTGTTTTGGTTTCTTCATATTTGTTGTTATAGTTGTCGTTGCTATCGATTCACGATGATGATGTCGATTATTATTATTATTATTATTATTGACATTTGTATGATCATCAATATCATTATTGGTTGAATCATTGTTAGCTTTGTCCGATTGTTCATTGTCTTTATTCGATATTATTGATTTTATTGTTGAATTTGAATTGGAATTCGATTTACGAATATCACTACAATTATCCAATGATGTAGCCATTGTTGTTGTTGTTGTTGTTGTTGTTTTTAAATGTATAAGATTACGACATAATTCATCGATTAATCGTGAATGTTTGTTCTTTTTATTACTAACTACATTTTCATTTCCGCCACTACAACCAACATTACTACTACATCCATTATCATTTTTATTGTTATTATTATCTGAATCCATTTGGATTAGATCTTCATAGATGCCTTCTTCTCCATCATCATCATCATCGTCATCATCATCATCATCATCTGGTGTACCTACACCGACACCAATACCGGCTGCAGCTGCCGCTGCAGCTGCTTGTAACAATGTTGCTGCCGTTTGTTGATGATGTGATGATTTCAGGAATAATTCATCCACCGATAATGTACAATGTTTAGAATGTATCGAATGGCTACTTAATGAAGAATGATCTTCATTTCTATAATTTTTCATTTTTTTTCCAAGAAAAAAATAAATTAAACAAAATAACATCATTTATCAAATGGAATAAAAAAAACCGTACGAAAAATACTTACATACTATTACTACAACTAGGACTTGGTGTACTTAGTTCGGATGGACTAAGACCACCACAACTTGAATTTAATGGTGATCGTGAACCTGATTCACGACGATGAATATATCTTGGTTCACCAGGTACAGCCAATGAATATTTACGTTGATAATTCATATTCACAGGTCTAGTTGATGCCGTTGCACGTGTTATACGTGTATCGATTGCACTTTCTTGACTATATAATGATGTTGCACTATTCATTTCATCATTATTTAAACTACTATAACTACTACAGCTATCCGGTTTTGTTTTACCAGTATTACCGGAACCACCGGATCTATCTTCCGATTGTCTGGCTGATGATGTTTGATTATCAACAATTTGTCTTGAATCATCAATAATTCCATCATCATCTTCAAAAGGATCAACATCATTATTATTGTTAATGTTATTATTGAGATTGTTATTATTATTATTATTATTATTTGCCATCATCATTGTCATCATTGTTTCCATATTATTTTTATCGGCTGTTGTTGTACAATTCACATCTGTTGTCATATGATTTTCATTTATTTTCTGATTTGATAATGTAATCAATTCAGAACAATAATAATTTGTTTTACTATTCGATTGAACTAGTTGTTCTTGTTCCAATATTGAACCAGATTCTTGTTTTTGTTGTTGTGGCTGACAATTTTGTATTTGATCCACAATAATAGTATTATTAGTTTGTGATGTTGTTGATGATGCGGAAGTTACTACTGTTGTTGCTTTCAATGACAATGAACGATTTTCTTCAATATTTGTTTGTTTATGATTATTGGAAATATTTTCAATAGAATTTTGATCAAAATATTCCAAACAATTATCACCATTGATTGAATTGAATTTATCTTTTTCCTAGAATAAAAGTAAACAACAACAACAGCAACAAAAAAAATGAATACAAATATACAAATGATTTTCAAATTCAAATAACTTTCAAAAGTAAACAACAATCGATTGTGAATATCGATTGAATATCGTTTTGAGAATCGAAAAAAATGACATACACACACGAACACATTCTAAACTATCCAAATTCGAATGTGATCAAACAAAAACAAAAAAAGAGTTCTAAAGTTGATTTTTCTTTGGTGAAAATCTGGATCAACTACGTTAATTCTAATAATAATAATAATTGATGACGACAAATACAGATATACGCACATACATACAAGTCATGTGAATGAGTAGGTGGTTGATTTTTTTTTTTTTTTTTTTGGTTTGGCATGGCTTGAGATAATGAAATGAATCTTAATCTTTTAGATTATTTTTTATATACAAACATAATAGAATTTGATCATGACATTTTCAACACCATAAGATCTCAAATGATTGATTCATTTATACAAAAGAAAAAGAATGAAAAATGGAACTAAAAACAAACAAACAAAAACAGAAAAAAAAATGAAAACAATAAAAGCTGAATGGATGGAAAAAACAAAACAAAACAAAACAAAACAAGTAATTGAAAACAATGATGCTTGGGAAAAAAAACATGAAAAAAAATAACAGCTAAAAATCGAAACAACAACAACAACAAGAATCGAATTGAATTATATCACATTTATACACATGAGGAAGTTGTGTAAATTTTGTTTGTGTGTGTGTGTGTGTGTGTGTATTGTTTGCTTACATCCGTCACTCACTTGGAAAAAAGAAAAAGAAAAAATTCTTACAACTTTCATCATCAACAACAAACGATGTGAGAGAAAAAAAACGAATAAAAACGAATAACAACAGTGATTCTGTGAACAATGAATTATGTTGAAAAATGTTTAAAAAAAACACACACACACACACATCAACAACAACAACAATCATCATCGAATAGTGATGATTGGCAAAAACGATCAATAATCATATGCATACAAAAACAATATCCAAAAAAAAAAAATACAGCGGACACTCTACTCTAAGAACAAAAACAAAAATGTTTCAATATCCAGTTGAAATTTCATCAATTTCATCAATCATAATGATTTATCAATTTATTTGACAGCCAGCCAAAAAAAAAAATCATCATCATCTGTTGGTTTTACATTCTTCATTTTTTTTTGTTCTCTCCATTGGAAAAGGTCAAGAATTTTGAAACTAAAAAAAAAACAAATTTTTTTTTTTTTGGTGCCAAGTCCAAATAATCGTAATCAGAATATTCAAGTACACCCACTGTAGTATATTGAAGTGTTTATCAAGAGAAATATAATAAAAAAAAGGTCAAACAAACAATTGATTGATCCACAAAAAAAACAAAAACAAAAACAACAGAATAATCATGAAAAGCTTCGAGTTAAAATTAGAATCACACACAAACACACGCACACACACAGAGAATTTTTTTAAATGAACACAGCAACTAATAATGTATGTTCACGATTCTTGCTTGATAATGATCACTACAATTGGCAGTTAGGTTACAAAAAAAAAAAACAACAACAACAACAAGAATTTGTGACGTAAAAACATTATTGATGAAGAATTATTGTTTTATTTTTTTTTGAAACAATTTTTATTTTGATTGTTTTGAATGAAATGAACAGAATAATAAATAGAGAGAGAGAGAGAGAGAGAGAGAGAGAGAGAGAGAGAGAGAGATCAAACAGAAATCACACAGACAGCTTTATATTATATGACAGCTTAGATGGAATTGATTGGCCTGACTAAATGAATAAATATATAAATGTCTGCTGCTGCTGCTGACACTAACAGATATCCGATCGACAGATCAACCAAAATCTATATGGAAATAGACACAAATGAAACATTATAATTGATTTTTTTTTGTGGGAAATAAATGGAAATCAAATTTGTTCAATAATTATGATGATGATGATGATGATGATGATGATGATGATGATGATGATGATGATGATGTGAAGGAAAATTATTCAAAATTGAATTTTTTTTTTTTGATTATAGTGATAAAATATTCACAGCCATATAGGAAATCATAGAATCCACATTTCAGTAGATTTTTCCTCATAAATTATTAACTTGATTTGTTCCATGTGTGCTGTGTGTGTGTGTGTGTGTGTGTGTGTGTGTGTGCGTGTGCTGTGTGTGTGTGTGTATACAAGCATACACGAACATGAAACATGAAATTTGGAACCAAAAAAAAAAAAAAACAACGATGATAATCAAATTCAAGATTCATGCAAATAAAAAAAAAATGCCGAAAAATCATGAGCTTGTCATTTTGAATCTTTTGATTATTCAAGAAGAAAAAAAAGAGGCCATAATGTAAGATACATTATCAAGATTCTTGAGAACCATATATTCCAATGTTCCACAAATTGCATACATTATTAATTATGGATTGTATGTATGTGATAGAATATTAATGTAAAAGGAATGAAATGATTAGAAAGTTATCAAACCAATCTGGATCCAATTACAGTCAGTCATCATCAGTCAATTTAAAGCTGTTGATAATTTCATTCTATTTGGTTTTATATGTGAATAATTTTTTTTTATATACGAATAACATGTTAGACTGATTAATAATGAGTATATATTTAGGTAAAATGTATTGCTGAAAACATAACGATAAGATACAACATCAATACACACAACATCAACATCAAATAACAGCAGAATAAAAAAAAATCAGAATATTCAATGATATTATATATATACAAAAAAAAAAAAAAAAAAAAAATACAGTGACACATCGCCATTCATGTGTGTGTGTGTGTGTGTGTGTATGATGAAAAAAACGGTTATTCACTGCAAATGACAAGATAACAATTCGTGAATTTAATTTTTTTTTCAATTTATTTCAAGGTTTTTTTTTATCAGTAATTATAATAATAATGACAACCTAGCAAATCGGATTTAAAGATAATTTTGGCGACAACAAACAAACAAACTACCATTTCATAAAGGGTAAAAACGCATTGCCTGCTTTTGATCTTTTCGGAGAGGCGCCATCTCGTGATAATATCGTTTCTATTGTTTTTCATTTTGATTGGCAGCTGAAATCTTCTTTTTCGCAGAATTGATTAATAACATTTTCAATGTGATCCGTGATGATCGGATATTTATTCAGCAATCAATTTGATTTCGTTACATTTATTTTCAGTTACTTCGCTATTCAAATTCTGACATAGACTGCCTCTTCCGGCGTTCCGTTCTATGGTATCCATCGTTAGCATGTATTTATAGGCGACGTCAACCATCGTCGATTCACCGAATCGAACGGTAGCTCTTCATCGGCATGCAATTGCTGTCTTCGATGATCCACCTACTACACTTCTATAGTAGTCGCCGTATAACGCTTTACCGTCTGTGTAAGGCATCTTTTCGGCCTGATTAAATAACGCGCTATATCGTTCAACTTGTACGTTTGATGAGGTTTTTCACTTCCTCTCTCAGCTGCCTGGGATTTGATGTCGCTGCCGCCAAAGTGGCATGCCGCACCCGCTGATTACCATTGTCGTTATTCGGTCGTCGTTCCGTCGTTATAGATCGTCGCCATCGATCGTCGCCATTGCCCGTCGTCGTCATACCGTTCGTCGTCGCCACCTGTTCGTGTTCAAATCGTTGTCGTTCGTCGTCGTCTCGTTGTCGTTAACTCGTTCGTCGCCGTTGTCGTTCATTGGTCATTACTTCGCCTGTCGTCGTTACCAGGTTGTCTGTCCGTTCGTTGATCATTCGTTCGTCGCTATCGTCTACGTTCCGTTGCAGTCGTTTTGTCTCGTTCTGTTATCGTGGATTTATTACGTTCATCTGTCCATATCGTTAATTCTGTTCCGTTGTCGTTGCTGTTTGCGTTTGCCGACCGTTGCCCATCTTTGGTTGCTGATGGCACGTAAAATGTAGCAAACATGACAAAAAAACAAACAAAACGATTTTCACAAGAAAACTTTATTCATATATTTTAATAAACGATGTGTTCATCGATGTAAATCATAAAACATAATAAAATGATCAAAATTCAATACAATAAGAAAAAAAAAGAAGAAGACAAAATTACATTCATGGTCATCAAGTCAATAAGTCAAGATCAGATCGCCCACCCTGGATTCATCTTTTCGCAACAACAATAATTCAAATTTTTCAATTTATTTCAATTTTTTTATCAGTAATTATAATAATAACGACAACCTAGCCCGATTTAAGATAATTTTTACATTTAAAGGTAAAAATAATTCAAGCTGAGTCAAAAAAAAAAAAAAAATAAAAATAAAGGAAATTAATTCAACGTTGTAACTGCTCACGATGTTTGTTTTTTTTAAAAAAAAAATTTCATAATAGATGACTAAGCATTTTTCTTCATTCCACTTTTTTTTAAAAAAACCAAGGTATTTTTTTTTGTTTTGGATAAAAAAAAAATTCCAAGAAACCATCGTGT